AACAATTTAAGGTAATAACTCGATCGGGATAATTAATAATGCATGTGTTAGTTGTTAATAATTAAAGTGTTTAAGTTAATAATGAACTTTGCATGTAAACCTTCAATGGCGTTTTAGATTATTAATTAAAAAAGACATGAATAATAAGAAATGAATTTTTTATTAATAATTGAAGGTGTTAATAAATAAAAGTCATTACTCGAAGATGGATGATTAATAAATCCTGAGTTAGTTGTTAATAATTAAAGTGTTAAGGTTAATAATAAACCTTGCATGTAAAATTTAATTGTCGTTTTAGGTTAATAATCCAAGAAGGGAAGATTAGTAATGACGTGGATGGTTGTTAATAATTAAAGTGTTTAAGTTAATAATGAACTTTGCATGTAAACGTTCAATGTCATTTTAGAATAGTAATTAAAAAAGAGATGATTAATAACGACGGAATTTTTTATTAATAATTGAATGTGTTAATAAGTAGATGTCATTACTCGGAGAGGGATGATTAATAATTCCTGCGTTAGTTTTTAATAATTAAAGTGTTTAGGTTAATAATAAACTTTGCATGTAAAATGTCATTGTCGTTTTAGGTTAATAAACCAAGAAGGGAAGATTAGCAATGACGTGGATAGTTGTTATTAATTAAAGGACTAATACCACTAGGAAACCCGAACTATTAACTTTGTATCATTTGTGTCCTAAAGTATTCGATATGACAATTGTGTCCTAAACTATTTCTCCCTTAGAGTTGACCGGCGTTGACCGTTAGTTTTTAACAGAAAATCCAGTAAGCACTGATGTGGCAACTAAAGTGGAATTTATAATATTAATTTATAATTATTTTTCATATAAAAAAAGAAAATTACAAAATTACAAAAATAAAAACTAAAACAGATATGATTTGTGGATTATTTTTTGGGACACAGAATTGACAATCCCTTCCTCTTCTCCTTCTTCTTCCTCTTCCTTCTTAGGGATTGAAAAAACCAGGGGAACGGAAAACCCCTTCCGAAACCAAGGCACTTGCATAATCGCCGGAATCGTAATCCTGCTCGACGGATCCGCCACCAGAAGCTTCGAGATCGACCTCCTCGCCTCCACCGAAACCAACGGCGGACACTCGAACTCCGCCTTGAAAACCTTGTTGTACATCCTCGTCAAGTTTTGATGTTGAAAGGGGAGAAACCCCGAGACGAGAGCAAACAAAATCACGCCTCGCAATCCCTAACTCTGCTCTCCTGCACGCAATTCTCGTTCGCGCTCTCGTCGCCGAACTCAATCCGGAGAGAGTTATTCGACTACGGCCACAACCTCCACCCTCCCGGCGGGGAGCTCCGCTCCCGGGAGGCCAAATGCCGGAAGGTCAGGGTTCGGAAAGGTCGGCCTCCTCGTGATTTGTGATGGCGACAAACTCGGTGATGCTCATTGTCGCTATCACCACCGTCTCCGTTGTTTCCGTTTTCTACTTGAAGGTAGATCTACCTTCCGAACTCGGTGATGACTTCCAGATTCGTCTTCTTCCGACGTCGGCATCTGGTCACTTACCCTTAGGTTGGATTGATTCGTCTTCTTCTCGATTTCAGATCTCAGTCAATCCCATATCCCCAATTGCAGAAGGACATGGTGGGTGTGGGAGCGGAAGCGACGGAGCGGGGTCCAGGACTTGGTGTTTGCGATGGTTGGTATTTTTGTGATTTGGGTTTGTAATTGGATGAAGGAGAGGCGGCAGTGGAGAAGCTGAAGAGAAGAGGGAGTAGGATGCGGTGGTGGGGAGTTTCCCTTTACTTGTTTTTTTATTATAATTTTTAGAAACAATATTAATTAATTGAGTTTATATTTTTATAATTTTTATAACAATATATAATTTTTTTATTTAATTTTTAATTAAAAATATGAGGTGTCATTGATGTGGCATCTACGTGGCTGCCACGTCAACAAAGTCAATGTTATTGTTGACTTCCGTTTGGTCAACCGTTATCTATAACGGTCAACGAAATTGTCAGGACATAAATGACTCACAACTATCATACGTTGTGACACAAATGTCATATCGGATACTTTAGGACACAAATGGCACAAAGTTAATAGTTCGGGTTTCCCAGTGGTATTAGCCCTTAATTAAATGTAATCGTTTTTTATTTCTTCAACATTGCAGATCTGAATGAAGTACCATGTGATGTCATCTTGGAAGGTGAAGATATGCCCAAGAACGATGACTTACGCGAAGATGAGATTACAGTAGAAAATGTATATGTAGAAGGTGAAGGTGAGTTGATCGATCTTGTATATACGTGGATTGATAAAAACTCGTGTATGATGTGGAGACACCGGAGCAATTTGATTTCATTTGGGAAGAAATGATGGCGGCAGTCTCACAGGGAAAGTCAAAGAAGCAGACTAGATGGTTGAATCGTATGTTTAAGGTGAAGGAGAAATGGTCATTTGCATGGGTGAACAAGCCATTCACTGCTGGAATGCGGAGTTCACAGCTGAGTGAGGCATGCAGCTCTGTCCTCCGAGAGTTTTTGAACACCAATCAAAACGTACAGCAGCTGCAGCAAATTGTGGTACGTTATTAAATTTCCAGCTATATTGGACTCTGTTAATAATTGTCCATAAAATCATTAATATTGTAAGTTGACTTTTGTGTGTTAATAATTGGCCATAAAATCATATGTTAATAAGATAAGTGAAAAGATTAATAATCTTGTTGTTGATATTGTTTGTTAATAATCCAAATGATTTAGTTAATAATAATAGTCATGCTAATAGTCAAGATGACATGGTGGCATATGATGTGTGGAAATGAGGAATATGCTAATAATAATAGTCATGCTAATAATAATAATAGTCATGCTAATAATAATAGTCCAGGAGGAATATGCTAATAGTCATGCCTTCCATATCGGTATAAATGAGGAAAAGCATCAAGATGACATGGTGGCATATGATGTGTGGAAAATCGAATTCGCCAATTATGAGTTGGGCGCTTTAACCATGGAGACGGTACATTCATAGAGGTTTCCTCGCTTTTTTTTGGGGGCGTATATGATACCTGGGCTCCTGGGGGGGGGAAAGGATGGATCGAAGTTGGACGAGAGGGTTGTCTTGGTTGATGTTGAACAGTGCATTCTCAAGTGCTCGTGCATGAAATTTGAGAGTTGTGGTTGGTTGTGCCGGCACATACTAAGGTTCATGGAACTACTGGGGTATGCACAATATCCATAACTATCAACAATTCCGTGAAGCTACCTATTAGACCGATTGTCACGTGCGGTGAAATAATTGACTTACGCGTTGTATTCTTTGTACGTGCCATATTGTGGACCATAGTAAAAAATTAAAAATTAAAAATTGCATATAAAAATATTAATAACCCATTCTATAATAACGATCAATACAAACAGAAAATGTCAATAACGAACATAACTTAATATTTTTTATAATGGCGGATCAGAAAGGTACAAATATAGAAAAATAAACATTACCATTTTCTACGGAATTTTGATAAAAAACCATAACACGAAATAATTGACAACGGTGTTAAAAAATTTGTCATGTGAGCAATGAACATTACAAAAAATTACCAATGCAATTAAATAATTGACTTGCACGACAGATTGATTAATAATAGAAAACAAAAGGTTGAGAACGAGCACATATGGATTAACAATGGAGACAAAAAAACAGTTTGTAAACGGCCACGGAATGATTAATAAGAGATACCAAAAGGTTGAGAATGAGCACATATTGATTAACAATGGACACAAAAAAGTCTGCGAACGTCCACGAAATGATTAATAATAGACACCAAAAAATTTAAAAATAAATACTATTGTGCAGCGACAATGAAAAAAAACTACTCCCATGCAACGCCAAAACCCTAATCACATGCAGCGACGAAAAACCCCACAAATACAAAATAAATATTGGAGACGAAAAAACACATTAAACGCCGCCGACGAGAGATAAGGGTTTAACGACGGGGTAGACTGGGAGTGGAAACGTTATCACGGACAGGGTTCGACGACGGTGGCGATGGAATCGACGATGGTGGACTGGGACGACGACGTGAACGGGAGCTGGCAGCGACGGCGACGGTGTAGAACAGAAGCGGGAGCAGAATCACCTGCCGGAGATCTCAGCGGGAGGGAAGCTGGACCGACGACGACAACGACAGCTGTGTTTGCGTTGGTGGACATGAACGACGACTGCAGCGGGAGCTAGCTGCCTTCGGTGGAGAACTCTTACTGAGAATCGCCGGCCGGAGAAGGGACAACCGGGAGAGACGGTTCGCCTGCTTGCGGGAAGAAGAAGAAACAGACAGCGGGACGGCTCGGATGTTTGGGGGAGGGAAAAGAAGAGACGTGGGTTAGGGTTGTGGTTTTTAATTTAATTGTAGTACTTAATACCCCTACCAACTATTTAACTAATAACTCCCCACTAACTACCTAAAATTGAGTCAACCAATCACAACGCTTTAAAATCCCCATTAAAAAAGAGGCCTTAAAGACCTGAACTTAGGCGGGGATAAGGAAGCAACGAGAAGATTGGGAAGAAGGGTTGGAATAAGTTCTGGGAAGAAGAATGGGGAAAAGAATCATACAAGAAAAAGAAGAAAAAAAATGAGAAATTTCAAAATAATCAGGGTGGTTGATTATTTTGAAATCTTTCAAGTGAAAGTTTTAGAAAATTGATAGAGTTCAAATTTCTCATTTTTTATCCTCTTGCCAAACAATCTTACAGAATGAGGAATTTGCTCAATATTTCGCTTCCAAATACCTATCCAAACGACCCATTATAAACCAGGGTTTATTAGGGTCAGTAAGTACATAAAGAATGAAACTAGGCATGAAACCTCGACCTTCCCTAAGGGGTAAAATGGTGGATTGGGCCTTAGCTTATTGGATTGTAAGGGCTGTAGATAGCTCTAGTTGTTTGTTATGGCTGCCTAATGCATGTTCATGTTGGAGTTAGTCTAGCCCAGCCCATTCTTTACAAATGAAATGAAAGGTACGAGCTGGCGCACTGTGCACGCGCACACCCTTCCAAGCGGCGTAGGTGTCGTTTTCTCCATTTGCCTTGGAATTAGGTGGCACAGTGACGCGCAGTGCGAGCCGGTCAGCTCCTTCCTCCGGCAACTTCTTCCCCGTCGACGCACACGCAAAGATCTGCCTTCGCTCCTTCATCCCGTCGTCGAGCTTACCGCTAGTCTGTTGGTGTAGCCAGGTCCACAAGTGCTCCAAATAGGTCTGTGGATATCGGAGATTAGGTTCGCGAGTCGGTGGTTTGAAATTCTCTCGATGTTGATTCGATCGGAAAAGAATTATAGGCTTTCGGCTCTAATCTTTACCTCTTCGATTCTCCTGCTCTGCTGCTTTCCCGGTAAAGAAGCGGAAACGTGTGTGGTTCAATAAATTATCAGGCTACTAAATTTATGCAGCATTGGGGATTGAGTTGTGCTGGTTTCTTTGCAGATTTGACGCTTTCCGCTGTCGTTACGCTGGATTCCATGGAAATTTATAAAACTCACGAGTGGCTAAAGAGTTGGAAACCGACGGTGTACTTCCGCTGCAATGGGGAGAACGAAACTGAGTTGCCTGATGTCAAAGAAGTCAATGTCACGTACAGCTTCAATGGCGATGAATCTTGGCAGGTAAGGAATCTGAATCAGCTCCTTTTTGTTGAACTGAAATCAACCGCATCCTTGGCTGTAGAATTTAAGGCAACGCATTAAACAGTTTATGATGCTTTCCTTGTTTTGTATTTTAGCCATTGACAGAGCTTACCTCCAAGAAATGCAAGCGTTGTGGGTTCTATGAAAAGGATAGCTTTAAATCCGACGATGTCTTTGACGAATGGGAGTTCTGTCCTTCGAACTTTTTGGATTCTGATGGCAAGTATCGGCGGGTCAAGGAGCACGAATTCGATGCAAGCTTTTTGTGCAAACATTGCGTGCCTCTGGCAACTGGTCAGTGCTTTCCTTGCTTATACCATCTGCATCCTCTAGGGGTCATTTGCATGAACTCTTCGATGCTAGCATCTAAGCCTTATCATATGTAAGAGAATGAATGGTATCAGATCGATTATTCAACCTGTTCCAATAACTTAAGTTAATTACAAAGTGGGTTTAGTTTTTTCCTTGTGCACTAGGCAGTTTTCAGCAGTCTGGCTGCGTTAAATGAATAAATGATGGTTTGTTCTACCAGTGGAACTGAAATCTAATTTATCTGCTTGGGAGCATTCTGGTTATAGTTCAGAAAGGAAAGTTCACATCTTTACTTCAATTTTAATTCGGATCCAAAGATTGATCTGTTTCTGCTCTGGTGGCGTTGTGAGGGCCAAATAATTAGGCTTTATGCTCTTGTTTGCCTGTCATTGATTTGGGAATTCTGTGCTTGTGTGTGACACATTGCTGAGCTTGCTTAATTCATTTCCTACTTTTCAATCGTTGTCTGGTGACAATTGTTCCTCCACAGATTCGAGTGGAGACTCTAATAGCTCACCTCCCAAGGGGAAAGGAAAGCATGTTGCTGTGATTGTACTGATCTGCGCCCTAGTTTCCGCTATGTTGATTCTGGGGTCAGTTGCAGCATACAAGTACTGGCTAAGGAAGAAGAGGGAACAGGAACAAGCTCGATTTCTGAAACTTTTCGAAGACGGTGATGATGTTGAGGACGATTTGGATATGGATACATTATAGATGAATACTCAGTAGCTTTCTTACTTTCCTGTACAGATAACGTTGCATTTTACGTGAACTGGACGCTAACAGAGCATTGATTATTCAAGCATAAATCTTCATTTCTTCAGTGACTGGTTGAAGTTATCTAGTTATTTTGAATCGAAACCGTAGACCGCCTTGATCTTTCTCTACAAGAGCTGCAAGCCTCTTTATTGAATTTCTTATTATCGATGCCGTACTAAGACTCAAACACATCTATTTCGACTCGACAAAAGTATGGCCGATTTGGGAAAGAGAACGAAAAATATATGTATATGGGTTAATATGTTATTTGCTCGAAGTATATATGCATATAATGGTCATGATTTCAGAAATTGTTATCTTGAACTCAACTATTAATGATATAGACTAAATTGATACGACGCATGGTTTGACCGTTTATTTGAACCATCTAATTGTCATGTCAGTACCAAACATAAAAAATTTATGAATTTCTTTTATTATTTCCTTTTATCTAATTAATAAATAATGGAAAAAAATCCAAAATTAATTTCGGCCACCCATAACGAGCTTATCCCCTCGCCTCTTCCTAAATAGACCAAAACCAAAGAACCCTAACCATTCTTCTTCTCCCTTCTTCCTGACGAGTGGCATTCTCTCCAATTCAAATGCAACGGCGGCCGGTCGTTTAAAAATGCGCATTCGTCGCTGCTTGCAAGATCTACTCCTTACCCAGAACCCTCACCTGTTGTTGTCACCCGCTCCTCTCGCTTGCCTCTTTTCTATGTTCTATCATCGACGGGGAAGAAAATTAGGGCATTATCTCCTCTTCTCCACCCAACGCTCTCTGCCCATTTTTTTTCTAGACCAAGCCATCCCCACCCATCGCTCTCTGCCAATTATTTCCAGACCAGCCATTCCCCACCCATCACTCTCTACTGTAAAAGGCGAGTAAAGTGAACTTCGAGGGACCACTTCGACAAAACCGTGTTTGCTATTCAGCTGAGGTAAGAAATCACTATTTCTCTTAATAATCATCAGAATACATCCAAGAAACAGGATTTAGCCATATGTGGAATGATGTGCAGTGGAGATTAAACAATAATAGTTCATTTGTCTTTATCGGCTCAGTGAAACGAGCTTAGAAAGATGTGTTTCTGGATTTGTTTATCTGCAGGATGGAAGACCAAATTGAGCTCATTTTATGCCATGGATGTTTTATGGATTTGTAAGGGGTTGTTCCAAAGTATGTTGGAGGTGATGAAGTTGTGGTGAATCTGCTTGTTGATGTATTATCATATTTTGAGATCAAGAAGACATTAATTGAAGATTTGGAGTATGTTTTTGTGGAAAGGATTTAGTACTTGACCCCAGGGGAAAGTATGACCTATAGATTGCAGGAAATACATTCAGACGTGGAGATGATGAATGGATTACTTCAAGATGCAGCTAAAAGAGATGTGAGGCTCTACGTTTAAGCAACCAAAGACATTGGTGATGATGGATTTATGGGTGACAAATATGGACATGATCGTGATGGATCAGATGAGGAGGGTGAAAACTCAGTTGTACCTGAATTTCTGTGAGTAGATGAAGAGGGTGATGCCCAAACATCTGATGAAGAGTAAAATGAAATCAGAGAAAAGGTTTGAAAGAGGAGGTAGAATTTTAGAGCACAGATTGAGGTATGGGGAATGAGGTGGATCAAGTGGTCTATGAAGACGAGGAGCAGAATTTGAATACTAATAATCCGAGGCAGAATGAAAAGAGTACAAGTGGGGGATGCAATGAGCCATCTAAAGCTGGAGAAATGATGCAGATAGTGGAGTATCGACGGAAACTTAGTATATGGGATCAGAGGAGTCTGCTCATGTTAGAGGCGACATTGGCGAACAATAAAATGGTAACCAAGATTGACAAGAGCCTGCTTTATGATCCAAAGTGCGATCATAAAGAATTGAGGTTCGTCACTTGTATGCGCTTTAGCACCCCTAAACAGTCTAAGAAAGATGTAATGAGGCACTAAATTGAGATTGGTGCTGATATCATATGGGTAAGGAGCAGTGCAGTTAGGAAAGAATTGTGTGTGCGCAAAAAAAAAAAAAAAAAGATTACTCATGTGGCTGAAGGGTAAATGCAAGTTGGTTTCGCAAGCATGAAGCCATTGTGGTGAACCGAGTTGGACTAGCTCACACTTGCCCGCGTTCACTTCGAATTCGTGCAGCCAGTCAGAAGTGGATAGCAGAAGAATATCTCGAGACTTTTAGGGTAAATCAAGGGTGGGATGGTGGCCTAATAGAGGCGGAAGTGAAATGCAAGTTCAACTTGGTTGTGTCAAACCAAACTTGCTACTGAGCCAGGCTGGAAGCTCGTTGCATCGCATGCTATATGGCTCACTTGAAGAAGATTTTAACCAGATTAGATCATATATAGGTTATCTAGTGAAAGTTGACCTGCAAGGATACTTTCTTCTCGAGGTGGATTTAGATCCGAGTTGTGACAAAGTCTTCTTCAAAAGACTTTATATTGGCTTCTCCTATTTGTGCAAAGGGATCCTAGCAGGTTGTAGACCATTCTTCTGCCTCGATGGTTGTTTCCCAATGGGGGAGGTCCAAGGAATGCTTTTGTCAGCTATTGAGAAGGATGGGAACAACCACATGTTCCCAATCGCGTGGGAAATAGTGGAGTCCGAGAATAAATCCTCTTGGATTTGGTTTGTTCGTGCGTTGCAAGACCAACTTGGGACAACTGATGATAGTGGGTGGACGATAGTCTCAAACAAACAGAAGGTAAATACTTCACTTGCTATCCTTATGGTATTAAATACTTCACTATTATTTTCATACTGCCACTTATACTCACTGTTTTTGCTTTTGATAATGTTGTCCATGTAACACGAGGGCTTGTAAAGGCTCTCCACACTTGCTTGCCAAATGCGGGACACCGAAAATGTGCGTAGCATGTTCACTCCCACTTTCGAGAGAAGCACAAGACGACTATATCTCTTGACCTTTTCTGGGAAGCTGTGTACTCTCTCAATGAGCCGAATTGGAGGGATGGGATGGTTCACATGAAAGGTCTTGGTAGGACTGAGTATGCATATTTTATGGCTCAGGAGCCGAAGCACTTTTGTCTATTGTTCATGAAGACATTCTCCAAGAGTGAATCGCTGGAGAGAAACATATGCGAATCATTCAACAACTGGATACTGCGATTCAAGTCTCTCAGACAGATTGCAATGTTGGAGGGGATTCGAGTGTTTGTTATGATTCGACTAGTGAAGAACAAAAGGATGATGAATTGGCGGAAGGATGTTTTCCCTGCGGTGGTCTGAAGCAAACTGGAGAAGGCAAATCATGAAGCAAGATTGTGTACTAGATGTCCCTCATCGGATACGATGCATGAGGTATTTGTCGATGGCAAGGGCTTTTTGGTTGAATTGAACAGTCAGACATGTACATGCGGTTGGTGGGAACTCAACGGTATCCCTTGGTGCCATGCTTTTGCATCCATCACATACATGGGAAGTAAGCCAGATAGCTATGTCGATGATTACTTCAAGCTGGAATTCATCAAATCAACATACAAGTATCCCTTTCCACCATCAGAAGGGTGGTAAGCATGGATGCCCACATTTTGGAACAAGGTTTACCCACCTAGGATTAGGCTCATACCTGGTCGTCCGAAGACAAAATGAGGAAGGGAGGCTTGGGAGATCTAGAGTATACCAGCTAATAATGGAATTGGGAAGGTTTCTAGTCGAGAGAACCTCACAGTTCATTATGGAAAATGTGGTGGAGAAGGCCACAAAGCGAGGACATGTATGAATGAGCCTATGGCTCCGAAGACGGCAACACCTACAAGGAAGAAGCAAGCACGATTGAATCAGCAATCACTCGTTCCTCAATCAAATCAGAAAGCCCGAAGGGAGAATCGGGTAACTCGAAAAGTCCTTCCCAAGCACCAAATCAGCACAAAATGTATTGACTATATCATGCTGCTCTTGTGCCAATAGTCCCTTGTTTACCATCCAGAGATGTGAAGAGCAGGACTTCATAATTAAATTTATGCAAGTCTCAATGATGTCTATCAAATTACACAAGTGTTCATGAATTCTCAATTACATAGCATAGAGTCAGTCTTTAAACAGATGATTCGGCTAGAAAGGCATATGAAGTGAGTTGGTACAATCTGCTCTAGTATTCTCACCCCAACAGTTTGGATTTTTAATAATGGAGCAACATACCACATAATCTATGACATAAGTTCTTTCATTAAATATAATTCAATTACACAAGTGTTTGTGAATCTCCCAAATGGATAATAAATATCTTCTATTCACATTGTAATTGTTACTTTTCCTTGTGGATTTTTCCTCACTCAAGTCTGTTTTGTTCCTTCCTTTACTTACACTTTGGTTTCTGTAAGTAAGTTAACCCAAAATCATCCAATTTCTTTATTTTAAATCAAACTTTTGTCTCATTTAAGACCTTATTACTCGGAGGAGGATTGGTTTAGCCCAAGTGGATAGAGGTCTTTACCTGTTTTCAAACTCCAAGAGTCAGGTTTTGATGTACATATGAATTCCTTGAATTTAGCATAAGCAGTTTTCAACTTTTGGAGAAAATATTTCAACATCTAGCATGCCAAATTAGGTCACCCTTCTGTATTTAGAATGAGAGATGTGAAGTATCACTATCCTTATGTAACTCTACCTACTGTTAAATGTTGTGAAGTTTGTCGTTTGTCTAAGAAAAAGAGGTTGCTCTTTCCCGTTAGCACCTCAACCAGCACACACATGTTTCTCTTGTTCATGTTGAAATTTGGGGGCTCAGGAAACAGTTTCTAGTGATGGTTTTTCCTATTTCCTTAACGTTGTTGATGTGAAGCAAGGTCCACCTTGCAATCTTTTTGTCTGGTGGTACAAACTCAATTCAATGTACCTGTCCAAACTATTAGATCAGATCAAGGGGCTGAGTTCCATATGCCAAATTTTTATTCTGCTTATGGAATTGTACATGAAATGAGTTGTCCCTGCACAGCCCAACAAAATGGGAGAGTTGAGCGTAAACACCAGCACTTACTCAATGTTGTAAGGTCCCTCAAGTTTCAATCTGGTTTACCATTGTGCTATTGGAGTAATTTT